GGACGGTGGCCCCAGCGTCAAGGAGCCCGCGAGCCGCTTCCCGTGGCGCTGCGCTCGCCGGGACGGGCCCTGGGTCAGCAGGGAGCGGAGCGGAGCACAAAGGGCAGCCCGGGATGGTGCCTCCGCACACACGCAAAAGTGGAACAAAAAACACACGAAACGCCAGGTTAGGAACAAACGATAACGGGGAGACACAGACAGCGATGGCACAGAGGGACCCGGCTCACTAGCTGGGAATTGGCACCCGCGCCGGGCCAGGAGGGGAAAGGTTCCTGCAGGGCAGGAGGGTCCTCGTTAATGGGTTACCCTGGTGCAGCAGCAGCACTTTGCTATTTACTTTGGGTTAAATGTTTAATCAGATCCAAGAAGCAAATCTTATTTGAGACGCAAATAACCCAGGCCCTACTTTCCACCCCCTGCGCTGCCCCGCTTCCAGATACAAAGTCCTTAGAGAAAAAAACAGGCAACAAGAGGGTCTGCCATAAAATGAGGGGGCAAGAAAGAGGAAGAGCCAAAGTCCTGCAGCCCAGGCCCGTGTCCAGGCACTCGAAGGTAGAGAAGTCTCCACAAGTCAAATTTTTATAGAGCACCCAGGGCCTGTGCGCGCAGGTGGAGGCAACTGCTTCGTTTTGAGCTGTTGTTTCACCTCCCACCAGCACCGCAGGGCTTGGGCCAAAGGGAGGGATCACCAGGTTCATCCCGCCCCGCTCGCCCCTCTCCACCTCCGGACACGTCGCCGCTGCCACCTCCGACACGAGCGGCTCCGTCACGGCGCTCCCTGGACGTGTCCCGGCCGCCGGGACGGGGACAGGCGGCTCCGAGGCCCCCCACCCCGCCCAGGGCCATCCTGCCCCTTCCCCAAGCTCCGCTCACCCGCTCAGCACCAAAGCGAGCTAAGGAGGGGAGCGGGCGAGCGAAATTAAACCCAGCAGGGCCAATAAAATCAGAAGGCCTGGCCGGCTGGGCCTGCGCTGCGTGTTGGGGACATCCAGGGGAGGAGGCTGGACTGAAGAAAGCGTCCCTACCTGCCACGCGTTCCTACGGAGCAGGAAAGGCCTTGGGAGAGAGCAGAGACACAAACCCTGGTCATTCCGTGATGGAACAGGAGCGAGTGCTCCTCACCGCTCCCTGGCAGGGCGCGCAGGCCCCAGCCCGGTGCGGCTTCACCTCCACGCGATTATTCACATACCTGTGAAATTTTATTCACAGGAAGAAAATTTCTTCCTGTTTCCAACCTTAGCCACGCTCCTGAAATACCTCTGCGTGTTTAATTGGTATTCTTCCAAGTGGAAGTGTTTTCTCAAATGCAATTTGAACAAAGCACGCAGAAAGCATCCATGAAGTATGAAACTCATTCTGAATTTCCGTGTGTAGCTAAGCTGCATCCTGCCAGCTCTCCCCATCCAAGGAGCACATCAAAAGCTCCATCACGTGGGCAAAGCGCTTCTCTTAATGGGAAGAACCGGTTCTGTTCAGGGCGGTTCCCCCAGCTACACGTAACTCTCACCCTGGCCCAGCACGGAGATCATTTCTGAATCACTAATGCAGAAAATCTATTCCAAAAGGGCTGCTTTGAGCCTTCTCTCCTGGTCCTGCTCCTTTTAGTGCAGATAAGGGAGAATTCCCGTTCCAAGCACACCCAGGGAACGCCCTCACGTCCGGGCGGGAGCGACGCTCCCCTTCCCATCACCGGCACCTTCTGGGGCGCGAGCGAGGCCACCTTGGTCCCTCCAGCTGCCCCCGGCGCAACCCGGCAAACTCGGGAGCTGGGAGGGCCCCGCTTGGACATCCTGGTTCCTAAGAGCATCAGGGCTTCCAGTCCTGGCACTGGATTCCACATCGTTAATGCCAGGCCTTGAAACTAGAGCAATGCAAAAGGCCTCTGGCAAGAGCCACCGGAGCTGCCGTGGAGCCGGCGCTCTGCTCCGAAGCGACGCGCTCAGAATCCCGGCCCCAGTGTAAACACGGAGCCTGGAGCTGTCCCCGTGCGATTCCCCGTGCGATTCCCTGTGCTCCAAGCTCAGGTCAGATCCCGTCCGCCCCCGCGCATGGAGCCGCACGCGGAGCAGCTCCCGGGCAGCGCAGGAGCTTTGCTGCAGCCTCCCGGCCTCGTTATCAGCGCGGAGCAGCCGCGAGCAGGGAGGGACCCACAGGCCAAGTCAGCTGGAGCCGCCGGCTCCCTGCAAGAGGGTCCCTGCAGGGCCCAGCCCTGCTGCAAGGGGGACACTGCAGGGCCACCCCTGCCCCCTGTCCTGCTGCAAAGGGGACATAGGACGTCCGTGCAATCCCTGGTCCTGCTGCAAGGGGGACTCCGCATGCTCCCCCAGCTCAGCCCCATTGCAAGGGGGACACCACACTGCACCCCACGGCCAGGCCCTGCTGCAAGGGGGACACTGCACTGTGCCCTGTGACCCAGCCCCATTGCAAGGGGGACACCTCGTAGCACCCCCGTGCCCAGCCCTGCTGCAAGGGGGACACTGCACAGCTCCCGTGACCCAACCCCATTGCAAGGGGGACATTGCACCGTGCCCCGTGCCCCAACCCCATTGCAAGCGGGACACAGCCCTGCCCTGCTGCAAGGGGGACACTGCCCCGTGCCCCAGCCCCGCTGCACGGGGACACCTCGGAGCCGCCCCGCTCCCAGC